CCCACTCACCTGCTGCGAAGCCCACCCCGCCCCTCGATAGTCCAGCGGGTCACCCTCCTGGGGGCACGTGTGCCCACAGCGCCTACACAGCCATGGCGCCCGCGCGGAGTGGGGGGGCCCCCCTTTCTTATCTCGGGTGCTCCCCAAATGGCGCGGAGAGGGGCGCCTCGCTGCAGAGGAGGGAACGAGCGATCCCGACCCGGCCACAGCCACACGGGTGCAATCGGGCTTGGGAACGTTAATCGCCGCTTTGCGGAACGCCTGCCCCACGGAGCACACCATTCTGTTTGCAAAGTTCTCCCGCGCTCCCGAGGGAGGGGCCATTACCCCCATTTTGCAGGGGTGGAAACTAAGGCCCTGAGGGGCTGCAGGGCTGGTCTTCCGAGGCGGGTCCCCAGGCTCCCATTGGGGAACCCCAGAGAATCCCTCGCCGGCTCCCACCCACGCCCAAGGCGTCAGCACGTCGGGAGACGGGAGGAGGGCGGAGGACCAGCCGCGTTTTGGCGGGGGGGCGGGGCCCACGCGGGAGGCCCCGCCCCCGGCCCGCCCGCGTGACATCTCGAGAGCTGATTGGGCCAGGCCGGTGACAGTTTCCGTTGCCCAAGCAACTAGGGTAGGGCTCCCTCCGTACGGGAGGGAGGCGGCAGGCCCGGGACAGGGGCCTCGAGTTCGGGCTTGGGGTGAGACTTGTGTGCCGGCACCCCGCGAGCGACGGACTGGGCTGGGGTTCCGGTGGGGGGCCGGGGGCTGCCGCCCTGCACCAGTGCTCCGAGCGAAAATGTAGGCCGCAGAGGAACGGGCTGACCGCAGCCCCAGGGTCTGGGAGGCAGGGCCGGCCTGGGGGCGGAGAGGAAGCCGGACACGCCTGTACGCGACCCCACCAGCTCTCGGTGTGCTCCAGCGGTACCCTCACCACCCACCATCTTGTCTCCACAGCCCAGAGCATGTTCCAGATCCCAGAGTTTGAGAAGAGTGACCAGGAAGACGTCAGTTCTGCAGATAGGGGCTTGGACCCCAGCATCGGAGGGGACTGGCCTTCAGGCCCCAGCAAGAGGCACTGCACAGCCCCAGGCCCCCTGGGGGACGCCGGTCACCAGCCGGGACAGCCAACCCGCAGCGACCACCATGGAGGTAGGCACCCCCAATACTAGCAGTCGCCAAGTAGCTCACTGCCACACTTGCTAGCTGGCTTTGGGGGGGAGCGGCAGCCTCTCCGGGATCCCATTTGCAGTGTATCGGAAGCATTCCCAGAGAGCTGGCACACAGGCTCAACAATAGCAAATAGTAACTGTTACTGCAGGACCCAGCCAGAAATCACTGAGGCACAGTGGGACAGCCAGGAAGGGGAAGTGACTTGCCTAAGGTCACACTTGCTTGGCAGTTCCTGTGGTAGACAGTAGTGCTGGAAAGTTCCTCCGTGCCTGCCCTAGGCTGTGTGCATTCCCCAGGCCTGGGCTTTCCTTGCGCGCTGGCCTGGGGCAGCTGTCCCCCAAGTGGCAGACAGCCCTCCCAGATGGCGGCGGAGTGGGGGCTGGCAACCGCCCCTCCGCACGGAAGGATGGGGGTACTGATAGGCAGGCGCAATTTCTCTGTAATCTGGTGTCCTGCAGAGACTTTTGGAAAACAGCAGGTGGGTCCCGTTTTCCTCAGGAACTGGAATGCTGGGCCCTCTCTGCTGCCCTGTGTGTGCTAGGCAGCTCACTCTGAGGTTTTCTCTGCTGCCTTTTCCGCTCTCAACCGTTTTCTGCTCCCAGCCTGGCACTCCATACCCCTCTTGTGGGCCCCCTCTGCACCCAAGTGGTGCAAACAGTTAAGCACTTAACTGAAAGCTAGCCACTCCCCAGTGCTACCGTGTTGAGACTGCCCGTGAGGGGTTGCAATGAGCCAGGCAGGAGAAGGTGGTCCCGTGAGGTTGGAGACAGCAGTGGCAGTGGAGTGGGTGATTGAAGGTGAAGTCAATAGATCGGACATCAAACCCATTGCACGGCCACCAGTTGATGACCCTAGAGGTCAAAGCAGAACTGCCCCTATGGGTTTCTGAGACTTTAAGTCTTTCTGGGAATAGACAGCCTCGTCTTTCTCCCTCAGAGAGGCTTGTGGGTTCAAACCACTGACCTGGTCGTAAGCACCTCAATGCATAACCCACGACGCCAGTAGGGCTCCTGTTACACTGGCCTAGAAGAAGCCAAGTCAAGTGTCACTTCAGGGAACTTGGCTTCTACAACCAGAACAACAGAGTTGCCCTTAACAGAGGTGGGGTGGGGGTGGGGGTGGGGGCGTGTTGCAGTGAGCCTTGTGTGAGCCCTCCAGGTGGGGGTTTCCAGTAGGAAAAGGCTCAGGCAGTATTTATAAATCAGGAGTTGTCAGTTTTTCACTGTATGGGGGCCCACGAGTCTGAAGCAAGCCCCTGGGAGGTGACAGGTGGAGGAGAGGTGTCGGGCTGGAGGGCCAGGCCTGGGTCCCAACCTTAAATGGAGGTGAGAGGAGGAACCGGCAAGGGAGACAGAGAAGGGGGTGGGCAGGAAAGAACTGAGCATGTGTGCTGGCCACTGCGCCTTGTGGGCGCTGGACTGGGTGAGATGCTCCTTAGGGAGAACGGGGTTGGCTGATGGGAACCACAGCCCGGGGCCATTTGGCCAGGAGGGGAGGGCACGTGACCACAGAGCATGTAGATAATGGGAAGAGGAGAACTGGAGGCAGAGGGGGAAGCCTGCTCTTGGCAGCCATGGTCCTGCAAAGGCTAGCAGATGGCCAGGTGGCAGCTGAAGACGCGACAACAGGTAAGATAAGACTGAAGAAGAAGCTAGCTGGTGACGAGGCCGCTGTTGAAGGGAGCCCTTGGTGGCATAGTGGCTTGGGCTGCTAACCACAAAGTCAGCAGTTCAAAACCGCCACCCGCTCTTTGGGAGACAGATGAGGCTTTCTACTCCCATAAAGATTTATCATCTCGGAAACCCACAGGGCCATTTCTAACCTGCCCCATAGGCTTGCTCCGAGTCCGAGCGGACAGGTGGGCAGTGAATTATTGAGGCTTCTAGTGAAGTCACTAAGGGTTCGCTTGGCTTGGATCTGTAACCAACCCCCATGGAAGGAGCAGGCCGCAGGGAAGGACTTATCTGGGTGACCCATGTTGGAGGTCACTCTGGTGGCCCGGGTGTGAGTCAGACCCCGACTGCCTGGAGCAAGACCCCAGGCCCGTACCAGACGTTCCTCTGACAGCCCTGGGTCACCATCATGACCCTGATCCCACTCTGAGAGGCCTGCCCGTCCTTAGGATGTTTCGATCTGCTGCCTGCCAGCCAGCCACGTTCTGGTGGCCTCCCGCGTCCTTTCTAAACTATCTCAGTAAGCCCTTGGACCCCAGGCTAAGACTGGTCTCCCTTATCCAGATGCTACGCCTCTCTGGTTATCTTGTCCGTGTTATCTTGTCCGTGGCCCCGATTAAGATGTATTAGATGGACCAGGAAAGGTCAAGACACTTCCCTTTTCCTGTTTCACAAACAGTATTTATCTTGAATAGATCCTATGCCTCTGGCTTTCCAACATTGTTGTTGTTTAGGGAGGAGAAAGCCCCATCTCTCTCCCTGGGAGCTGCTGGTGGTTTCAAACCGCCGAATGACCATGTGACCACAGCCCAGCACCTAACCCGGACACCACCAAGCCCCTTCCTGAGACAATTAGAAAAAGAAAATCCTAAGTTGCTAACAACCACCACAAAGCCAGCCCAGAAAGAAATCAAAGGACAGACTACACTGCACGGCTCAGCTGCAAACACCTCTTTTCAACTGTCGCCGAGCGAGGTTGCCACCTAGGTACCTGAGGGGGCCTGACCCGAGCTGAGGGCTCTGGGCCGCCTCAGTGCATGCGAGAGCTGGACCGAGAGTTGGGAACACCGAAGACGAGGACACCTCGATGCCTTTGAATGAAGGCGCCGATGACAGTGATGAGGTGTCCCAGGAGCTAACACCCATCTCGCCCGGCCGGCCTGATGCACCGTAGGAGCAAGGATGGCTCAGACTCTGGGGCGTGTTGCCTGTGGTATCGTGGTGTGGTGGTACTGGGCTGTGCCGATCTGAAAGGTCAGCAGTTTGAAACCACCAGCGGCCATGGGCGCAAGGCGGACTTTCTTCTTCCATAAAGTTGCCATCTCAGAAACCCACAGGGGCAGTTCTGCTCTGTTCTTGAGGGTCCCTGTGGTCGGCGTCCACTCCGTGGCAGTGTTTGGAGTGGCTTTTGTATCGAGAAGGACCGTGTGCTTGGTAAAGTGGACAGTCAGTGAAAAAGGAGTGCGATGGATTGACACAGGGACGTGGTGACTGCAGCGAGGGGTCCGGGCCTCTAATGAGGAAGGGTGGCACAGGACCGGGTAGTGTGTCCTTCTGTTGTGCACGAGGTGGGGATGAATGGGAACCCACTGGCAAGCACCTTAGGACAGGGCAGAGGGCGTGGTGCAGGGGTGATGACTGGAAAGCCCGGTAGGGGTGGAGGAGGGGGTGAGGGGAAGTGTGGCCTTCGAACCAGGAGCCTCTCTCTGGGCACTTCTCTCTCCATTTAGGGAAGTGGGGCATCAGCTCTGGGCTAGGAGGGTAGGGGGGAGTTGGGAGGAGTGAGGGGGCTACAGGGGAGAGTGGAAGGGGGGACCAGGGCTGTGACTTTGAGCCCTTACTGTGAGCCCCGGCGGCGTGGCTGAACCGCTGGCAGAAGCTGGAGTTGGCCAGGGCTGTTTTGTCCGAGTGGTGTGGTGATTACGCTGGTGGCCCACTAACCACAGGGCCAGCAGTTGGAAACCAGCAGCCACTCTGAGGGAGAAAGACGGGGCGACAGGGGCAGTTCCACCCTCTCCTGTAGCGTCGCTGCAAGGGGGCGTCCCCTCGAGGGCAGTGAGCTGGGTTTGTCCGAGGAGGCCCGGTGGCATGGTGGGTGATGCATCAGGCTGCTAACGTAAAGGTCATCGGTTTGAACCACCAGCCGTTCCCCAGGCGAAAGATGAGGCTGCCTGCTCCCATACAGAGGACAGCCCTACTGTGCCCTGTAGGGCCGCCACAAGTCACGCTCGATTCGATGGCAGTGCGTTTGGTGTGGATTTTGGTTTGGTGAGTGCCACATCACACAACAAGCAGCGGTGGTTGTTTGCAAGGAAGGGGCCAGAGTGAGACCCCGGGGACGTGCAGCTGCAGCAGCCGTGGCAGTGGGATTGGTGGCAGGTGCTACTCAGAGGGCAGGGGACAGGCTGGAGATGACAGGTCCGCTGTGACGGGCAGTGAGGAGGTGTGGGTGGGCTTCCCTGTGGGAAGGAATGTCTGAGAGCCAAGACCCTGGGAGAAGAAGGCAGTAGCGGTGACAGAGGCTGAGAATGGGCTGACATATCATGTCCACCCAGCTCTAGACCTGGCCCGAGGAAACCAACCACCACCATCCCAGAGGGCAGGCGGGGGGGGAATCGTTCAGCACTGAGTTGTGGACCGCAGCCATCAGCTGTTTGAACTCACCAGCCCCTCCAACAGAGAAGGATGCGGCTTTCTGCTGCTGGGAAGAGCTACGGCCTCAGAAACCCCTTGGGGCGGTTCCACCCTGCCCTTCGGGGTCTGGGTATGTCAGAACGACTACCCGGCCAGGAAATGGCTTGACCCCATTGAATCCTCCCACTGGGTCTCAGTGCTGCCCCTAAAATATCCCACCGCTGTCAGGGACCTGCCGAGCCTCAGGACCCCCCCTCTCTGTCCATGGTCTCTGCACATTTCCCACCCAGTCCCTGGCTCCCCACAGCAGAGACTAAGCTGCCATGAGCCCCGGTATGGCCCCAGGGCACGGTGGCCCTCCGTGGGGAGGAGGGCGGTGAGAGAGCCGGAGGATTTCAGAAATCTTAAGAGAAATCCGAGGCTCGAGTTCCTTATTCATAAACTCAAAGCAAGTGAGACCTTACCAGGAGCCCCTTGAACCCAGGAATCAGGATTAGTGATTAAAATGACAGAACCAGTAGGCAGCCTGGAGGGTCTTACCGTGAACTCGACACCAGGAGAGGCTGGCTGGGCCACGCTTGCTCTTGGTCCCTTGGAGACTGGGGCCAGGTCGGCGGCCGGAGAAAGAGTCCAACTCCTCGCTGGCGAGCAGAACTCTTAGGTGTCTATGCA